TTACAGAGAAGAAAGAAAAGAAGAAAAGAAAAAAATAAATAAAAAGCAGACACAGCCACTTAAGTCTCCTGTTATCAGCTTACAACATTAACTATTTCTTTACCCTTTGTCCCTAAAAAAACTCCAAGCCTCTTCTGCTTGGAGCCGGGCACTTCCATTTCTTTCTTCGTGAGCCATGGCCACTGCCTCCTTCTCTCTCTCTCTCTGTCTCTTCCTCTCTATCTCTTGCTTTCTAAGACAGCGAAATAAATTTTTACATCTTTATATCCTAATCTTTGTGTGAGAAATCTTTCTCCACTCGTGCCATGACATGAGCTCCTAGCGAGTTCCCCACGCTATGTTAACAGATCCACATAATGGAATACCTGGAATTTAACACTGTATTTATGAAGTGGTTTTGATGTCATGTAAAATACTTACATAAGTGGGGAAAATCTGGATACAGAATTCTACGCTTCTAGGGATATAAAGTCTGTGTGCATGTATGTACACACACACACACGAGTGAGCACACAGGTGTGCATGTACACACATGCACGTAACACCCAGCCAACGTCTGGGAGGAAAGATGCCAGCAGGAAGTGGTGATCTCTGGGTAGTGGCATTATGCCTGTTTTCCCTTTTTAACAGTTTTCTCTGTTTTTCATGTTTCTCACACCTATTTTACATTTTATGACCAGAGAACATTTTATTTTAAATAATGGTTGAAGTGTAGCTATCAGAAAGAAAAGCACCCACCAGTGTGTCTTCTTCCAGCCCAACCCACTGCAGAGCCCTGGGCCAGGACGCACAGGCAGCCCCGACGGCCCGTGCGTAGCATTTGACCCAAGAATCCCATCCCTAAGAAAGGCTGTAATTCAACAGAAAGTGAAAGCCACACACAGTCCACTAATACTGCAGAACCACTGATAGTGGGCGCAGGAACAGAACCGAGCTAAGGTCCAACAGCCGAGCACTGTTCGGAGAAGTTCCGGCGTGTTCCCAAGATGAGTACCAATGTGGCTGTCACAAGGCATCGTGAGGAAGAGGATCTAAAACATGAAAGACACTTTGTGTTAAAGGTGAAGTAAATACAGGAGAAAGGTGCAGCTGGGCCCTGAAGCCCAGGCTGTGTCAGCGTAGGCGAGTGTGGCCCGGAGCTGAGCGGGGCATCGACAGCCCATGGCTGCCGCCTGAGCCCGCAAGGTCCCCAGCCTGCTCAAGGCCCAGAGAGGACAGCAGTGACCAGGACACACGGGGTCTCTGCCCTCGTGGAGTTTATATTCCACTGGGGGTCGGGAAGGTAGACAGACAGCAAATAAATACACAGTAAGTCATACGGTGGAAGGTGCCAAGGGGAAACTGAGGCAGGATGGGGCTGAGTGGAAGAGATGGCTGTGTGCCTCTGGCTTCCTGGGGGCGCCACTGGCCCGCATCTCCCAGCCTCTCTGCAGCTACCGGCAGCCACAGCTGTGCCCTGGCCAACAGAACAGAGGTACAGTGACGTGCCTCGTGTCCCGGTCGGGCTCATGAGAAGCGCCCGTGTGCAGTTCTGCGTCTCCCGCTGGTCGCTGGCCGGTGTAGGGAGCCAGGCAGGACTCCACAGCCTCAGGGGTGGTGGAGCCGCAAGATGCAAGATACCTTCGGCCGAGAATCTCTGCTTGGAATCGAGCCCTCCACTCCACAGGGGTTATTTGGTGCCACAGCTGGCAGAGGGGGGCAGGCAGTGTTTGCAGGGGTCGGGTGGGGCTTTGCATTTGATAGAGGGGTTCCGGGAAGGCCTTGCTGCTGATGAAATCCAAGCAGAGGTTGGGAGGAAACGGAGACTAAGCGGCCGGGGCCACCTGCAGGGACCCACCGGGCAGAGGAGAGGAAGCCTGGGGCGTGCGTGCGGGAGGGCCCAGGAGAGCGAGGGGCCCGGTGGCTGGAGCAGCAGTGCAAGGGCCGGTTGTACAAGGGGAGGTCACACGGGAGTGACAGCCAGAGGCCCAGGGCCTGGCAGGCATGCTGGGGACCTCGGTGCCGACTCTGGGTGAGACGGAGGCCATCGCCGAGGAGTCAGTGACCAAACTGACATGCTAAAGGAGTCCTACAGAGTGGCTCTTCGCTGTTGAGAACAGACTGGGGGCAGCGAGGGTAGACACAGCCAGGGGACAGTCTGAGAGAGATAGTGGCAGGGGCGGGCGCAGGGGTGTCTTGTGAGGGCAAGAAGAGGGGTGTCCAGGGCGCACTCGGGCTGGGGCAGGGTTAGCGGGGGCAGGGCCACCTTGTCGGGTCAGGGAGATGAGAAACGGTGAGACACCCCGCCCTCCCCCCCACCCGACCAGGAAGGACAGCACTGTGGCTTCGGACACAGGACACTGCCAGCTGCCAGGGGTGGACGGCCTCTGGGTGGTTGAGCCTCAGAGTCGGGGGTCCAGACGGACGTCGGGGCTGGGAATAAAGGTGTGGAGCCCTCAGTGGACAGCAGGTGTTTGAAACAGGGGCGACGGCCTGACCGGGGAGAAGGGAATAGCCCTGGGAGCCGTGTCTGGGGCACCCCGCTGCTTCCAGCTCTGGGAATTAGGAAGCCCCCAGAACAGAGTCTCCAAAGGAGGCCAGAATAGCCACAGGCAAAACGAGGCCTCGGACTGCACCGAAGGTGTGGTGACATGAAGGCCACAGGGGTGGGGGTGGGGTGGGGGACGCAGCTGTTTGCAGTGGGCTGCAGAGACGGTGGGGGGCGGGGGGTGAGGAGCGCTGTCACAAAGGGGAACAGAGACGCGGCGCTCGGCAGTGGCCGGAAGGAGAAGTGGGGTCCGGGGAGGTTTCACTTGTTTTTTAGGGTGAGGCCGAGTTTATAAGCTGATGGGACTAGCCCAGCAGAAAGGTGACGCTGGGCCAAGGGAAGACTGTGCCGTGCTGGCCTCGCTGGCCAGGGTCTGGCCCGCACAGAGGGGCTCCCTGGGCCAGGGAAAGGTGGGGCACAGAGTTCGGGGTGGAGGTCGGGGCCGGAGGCCGGCAGAGGGCAGAGAAGGCGGGAAGCGCTAGTCGAGGAGACTGGACGCCTGGGCACCGAGGTCAGCTGGCTGGTCAGGGGCCGGGACTTTTGGGTGCTGCGGTCAGCCCAGGTGCATTCGCCCAGCCACACCTGTGCCGGGGGGCAGAGGCGGCTCCAAGGGCACTGAGGGGTGTGCAAAGGACAATCCCAGCGCAGAGGTGAGGGGTGAGGGGCAGTGGCCATGGTGGGAGGAAGAGGTGAGGGGGTGCGAGCATTGAGGTGCCGGAGGGATGCTCGACGTTGAGATGGGAGAACGGAGCTGGACGGGGAGAAGGGAGGGGAGCCAGGCCCACCTGCAGGGTCTGCCGGGGCTGGGCAGGAGTGACGCTGGGCGGGGGATGACTCCGGGGCTAAAACTGTCCCGGGGGTGAGGGACGACCTGGGCTTTGGAAATCACCCCGGAGCAGAAGGGCACAGTCTTCCGGCCCCAGCTCAGAGCTGGGGATGTTGGGTAGAAGGGAGGATAGATTGTTCTGGAAAGAGAATGAGCAGCACGGAGGACACCTGTCCCTGACCTGGGGCCCACAGTGGGGGCTGTGAGAGAGGAAACGGCGCCTCGGCTGGAGCCGCAGGGACAGGCAGCTCTAGGGAGAGTGAGCGGTGCAGAGACATCTGGGATGAGAAGGTGGCATCTGATGCCTGCTCTGCCCGCCGGCGCCCACCTGCAGGGCGGCCTTCTCTGCTCCTGGGCCGGGGTTTCTCTGGCTCGGCATGGTCAACCCTCGGCAGCCAGGGGAGGTGTTCCCGCCTCCCCACCCTCCAGGGACACGTCTGAAGCGCCTTCTACACGGCTCCCAGAGAGTCCCCGGTGGAATGAGGCCCCAGGTCCCCGCTGGGGGTCCCTGCTCATCAAAGCCCACAAGGCAGCCTTTCCCTCCCGTCACACCTGGGCTTCCTGGGACCCCTCCCGAACCAACGACCTGCCCCCAAGTCCTCCACAGGAATCCAGACTGAGCCCGGGGATCCGGCCATGCCTTTGGTGAGTCCCAGAATCCACCGCGACAGGTGGCAGGAGAGGATGAGGATGGCGTGGGCTGGAAAGAGAAAGGCCCCCAGCAGCCTGGGCGGCCGGTGAGCACCCAGCACATGAGGGACCATGTGGCAGGGAGGGCGGGGCTCCTCCTGCTGCCCTGGCGTGGGAGGAGCTGCGGTCTTTCCAGAACCTCAGGGGCGCCCTCCTCGTGACCCTCGGTGGCGGTGCCAGGCCTGCGGGGAGCACGCTGAGCTCCCGTGTCCAAACTGCACAGAAGACGGAGACAGCGGAATCTCATCCCAGTGGGACGAAGGGTAAGTCCTCTGTGTCCTGTTTTAAAGTGTCCTCATTCATTTCTTACTTTTATAAAAACCCACTATTTTTTTGGCCGGGCGCGGTGGCTCACACCTGTAATCCCAGCACTCTGGGAGGCCGAGGCGGGCGGATTGCTTGAGTTCAGGAGTTTGAGACCAGCCTGAGCAAGAGCGAGACCCCGTCTCCACTAAAAATAGAAAGAAATTAACTGGCCAACTAAAAATATATAAAAAAAAATTAGCCGGGCATGGTGGCGCATGCCTGTAGTCCCAGCTACTCGGGAGGCCGAGGCAGGAGGATCGCTTGAGCCCAGGAGTTTGAGGTTGCTGTGAGCTAGGCTGATGCCACGGCACTCTAGCCTGGGCAACAGAGTGAGACTCTGTCTCAAAAAACAAAACAAAACAAAAAAACCCACTTTTTTACAAAGCTAAACAGCCTTATCGAACGCACAGTCAGCAATCTCGCTCCTTGGTATTTGCCCACAGAAGATAGAATATTTATATAATAGAATGCAGATAGAAAACCTGGGTCCACACAAGCTTGCAGGTGGAGGTTCACAGCCGCTTTATTCAGATTGCAGACAGGTGCCCTCGCGGAGGCGAATGGATGAACTGGTACGTCCGACAGTGGGATGTCGTTCAGTGCCAAAGGGCGATGAGCCGTCCAGCCACGTGAAGACGCAGGGAACTTAAAGGCGCACTGCTGAGGGCAAGGAGCCCATCTGAAAAGGCCACGAGCCTACGGTTCAACCCCACAGCATTATGGGGGAGACAACCTGGGGAGACAGGGAAAGGATCGGGGGCTGCTCCGGGGCTGGAGGGGGAGGATGAACGGCGGAGCACAGAGGGTGTGTGCACAGCGACACCGCACAGTATGCTACCATAACAGTGGGTGCGGGACATCGTGGATTCGGCAAAGCCCATGGCATTTATGATACAGACTTAGCGTGAACCCCAGTGTAGACCTCGGACTTCAGTTACCCACAGTGTTTCAGTATTGGCGTCCATGTAACCGCTGTGCCGAGGCACCGAGGCCAAAAACAGGGAAACTGCTTGGGGAGTGGGGTACGTGGGAACTCTCTGTACTTTCTGCTGGATATTTCCGCAAACTTAAAACTGCTCTGAAGAATAAAGTCTCTTAATTAAAACAGCTAAAAAGCGGCACCACCTGACCCCGCACAGCCCACGCTGCTGGTGGCGGCCGCAGCTGGTATTGAACTCTGCACACCCCTCTGCTTGGTCAGAACCCCCACCCGCACCCTACCCACCCCCACTGAGTGCCTTCGCTCAGCTCTGGGACCAGGAGGGACAACAGCAAGAAGGGCTTGGGCCAGCTCACTGCCTTCCCCACTGCTTGCGGGGCTGGGGGGGGGCGGTGGTCGCACCTGCCGGCCTATTTTGGGTCCAAGAATCAGTGGCCCAAAAATGTGAGGCTGCGGCCCCACCTGGGCTGGACCCCCCAGAGGGGATCCCGACCCACGGTCTGTGTCCGGACCACAGCTGGGCAACCCTGTGCCGTCTCCAAGCCCGCAAACCTCCATCCCGACAGGTGCAAGAATAAGACCAAGAAGCCCGCCGCTGCAGGGTGCCCCTTGTCCTCTCCCCTGGGGTGGGAACAAAGTCCCCTCCCTTTTCCCGGGCTCTTTCTGAGACCGAGTCACAGTCCCGTGGGACCGGTGGCCGTGGCCTGGCCTCCTTGTCCAAGGGACTCGCCGCTGTGCTGTCAGCTGCCAGGGGCTTTGTGGAGGCTCATCAGAGGCACCCGGGTCACCCACGGGGGGTTCTCCTGGTCCCGTCCGTGCACCCAGCCTCGCCAACCCGTGCCCCAGCGGGCATCGCGGGCTGCTTCTGGGGCCCTGGGTGCGGCGTGGTACCTGGGGGTACCTGCAGGAAGGAGGTGGCTGGCTGGGAGGGACGCCAGGGCCCCTTCCCTTTCCGACGGTCAGTTGGGAGACCTCGGAGGGTGTCTTTGAAAGATGACTCAGGCTGTGACTACACATGGGAACCTTGAGGACGTTATGCAGGATGCAAGAAGCCAGTCATTAAGGGACACATGCCCGAGGATCCCACTTACACGCGGTCCCTAGAGTAGCCACATCCACGCAGCCAGAGAGCAGGATGGGGGAGCCAGACCGGGGGTGGGGGATGGGGAGTCCGTGTTTCAGGGGGATGGAGGTTCAGTGTGGGGAGATGGGAAGGTTCTGGAGACAGATGGAGGTGACGGCCGCACAGCACTGTGGATGTGCTTAATGCCCCTGAACCGTGCACTTAAAAAGGGTTAAAACGGTAAACTTTCACGACAATAAAAAATTAAATAAAATGCCACCCACCCCAAACTCTAGAGCAGGAAATAATCCTTCTTTCCTTTGAATTGTAGATAAGAGAGTCGCTGCCAAAGCATTCCGTAAGGCCTCTTCTTCCAAGTTTCATGTAAGAATTCGTTGAAGTCCTTAGAAAATAAAAAATGATAATTCAAAAATTTAAACGCGATTCTGCTAATAAAATATTTTTTTAAAAGAGTATGAAAATCACTTCTCTGCTACACCCTCCACTCCAGACTTGAGAACGTTCCAGAGAGCGATGCATCTGCTCATGGCGTCCCGTGGCGTCCCCCCCACCCCCCGTGAGAAAGTGCCCCGCCCTTCTGTGGCATCCCGCCTCACCTCCGGGGCTCCAGCCACTCCCAACTTCTTCTGTCCTGGTCCTGCCTGGTGTCCCCCTCCCCGCCCTGGCCACATGCAGCCTTGGGGCCCTCGGTCCTTCCTCCAGAAGCCCCTCCCTGCCCTCCCTCCTGCGGCCCGAGCTGCCCACAGCACCCGTCCCCCACCGGCAGCCCCAGACCCTTGTGAGACGCTAAATCGGACCCCGTCCTGCGTCCGCTCCAAACCCTCTGTGACGGACTAAATCCTGTCTCCCAGTTTTCAGAGGCTGATGCCCCAGCCCCCAGTGGGATGGCATTTGGACGTGGGGGCTTTGGGAGGCGATCAGGGTCAGATGAGGTCGTGAGGGTGGGGCCCCGAGCTGGGAGTAGTGCCCTCATGAGAAGGAACACCGGAGGGCTTGCCCTGCTGTTTCTCCCCCCGCACCCCCACCGGGCGAAGTTACAGCGAGAAGGCGGCCGTCTGCCAGCCAGGAAGGGAGCCCTCACCAGGGACTGAAGTTAGACGCCTGCTGCTTAAGCCGCCCAGTCTGTGGTATTTTCTTGTGGCAGCCCAAGCTGACTAAGGCACCTTCAAGGGTCAGTTATTCATGCAATGAAATTTTAGAAACTCGCCCAGCCTGGCATGATGTGGCCCGGCCTCCCTCACTGACTTTCCCCCGACACTGGTGCTCCGAGGCCAAGCGGGCTCCTTCCTGTGGCTGGAGCACCTTTCCAGCTCTCGGCGTCCGGCCCTGCCCACCGGGTCTGGGCTCACCTGCGGGAAGCAAGCCTCTCTCCACGCTCCCCCCCCCCCACTGACACTGTGGACCCGGCCAGGTGCAGGTGGGCAGGTGCGCCGAGGCAGAGGAAGAAGGCATGACTGATTCCTGTGTCCTCACCCTGCCTGGGCTTTCCTAGGGGGTGGTGGCAGCAGACCCCAGCCCATCCGACACGCCTGACCTCCCCCTGTTCCTTCCTTCGTTTAAAAATGCAACCGAAAACATTATAGGGGCCACTTTTACCCATCGAGTGTGTGCAAGCTTCTTCTAAATGACAATCATCGGTGCTGGTTACTATGACACTGATTATTATTATTACGACAATAAAAAATTAAATAAAATGCCACCCACCCCAAACTCTAGAGCAGGAAATAATCCTTCTTTCCTTAGAATTGTAGATAAGAGAGTCACTGCCAAAACATTCCGTAAGGCCTCTTCTTATCAAAATAACAGGGTATGTGCAAATACATAACTATATGTATGTGTAAACACAGAAAAAATACATCAGTATTCCCAGGCAGGGGTCACACGGGGGGTATGGCGTGCAGGTGACTCTGACTGGCTTTTCCTCCTCCCCGCGAGTGTCCTCCAGCTTGCTCACAAGGAGCATGGACTGCGTTTACAAAAACCAGCAACGCTTTGTTTTGAACATTTAAAAAGCTGTCCCCAGTGTCCGGCACACAAGGGGAGGAGGGAGGGCCCCGTTCGAGATCAGCTCCCAGCCTGGACGGGACCAGACACCCAGGCGCAAAGTCACCCCCGTCAGGGCCCCGCGGAGCGAGGCTGGGCTGCGCACAGGGCAGGGCCAGGCGCCGGAGAACGCGTGGACTCGGACGGCACGTCCGGCCGAGGGGGGCGTGGGGCCGGAGGGGCTGGGCTGCAGCCGGGCGTGAGAAAGTGAGTCTGGACACTTGGAGGCCGCCGAGCGCCAGTCCGGGGCTCAGACTTGACGTGCCGCCCGGGACTCAGCAGGCACGTGAGAACCAGCCCCGTGCGCCGAGATGTCCCCACAGCTTGGGAGACACAGGCTGGGTGCATGCCAGAGTCACGTCACAGCCCCAGCCCGGACGTGCCAGCCGGTCCTGCCTCGCCCCGTCTTCAATACGCTGCACGGCTGAGCCCCCGCACCAGGGGTGCCCCCCGGGCCAAGGACCGCAGGCAGCCCCTGGGCCAGAGCCCACTCTGACCAGAGAGTCACACGTTCCCTTTGAATGTCATCGATCAACCGGAGTCACGGGTTTGAACGCCGAGTCGCGTGGCCCATACTGAATGTTCTCGTAAACGCGAGGTGGCGTGCAGAGGGGATGAGGGTGCTGAAGCCCCCAGAGGTTCTGAAGCTGGAGGCCCAGGCCCGGCCCCCAGTGGGTGCTCAGTGAGTGATCACGGAACCTTCCGAGTGGAGCTGTGACTCACGGGAGTGCTTTGTCCCTTTGTCCCTTCCCAGCCAGCACCGGCCACCGGGGACATCGTCCCAGAGCCATAGGCCCTACGAGGCTATCCCAGCATTGGCGCCCGAGGGTGCAAATCCCCATGTCTCCTGCTCCTTCCTCTTTCCTGCTCCTCTGAAGAAGGTCTTCCTGTGTGGCCGGACCCCCTGATTTCATCTTTGAGGCCATCAAAAAGTCATTCCTCCTCCTTGGTCTAGATGGCCCCGACTCCAGCAGAGCGGGGTGGTGGCACTGCTGCTCCGGGTGCTGCCTGCAGACTCAAGGCTTCCAGCTGGCGGCTCTGAAAGTGCAGGGCTCGGAAGGCACAGCGGGAAAAGGAGAGGGGCTGGGAATGGGGACCCGGACTCCAGTCCCGGCTGCGGCCAGGATACCGGGCGGGCGGAGTCTGGCTCCGGCCCCTCTGGCTGAGCCACCACCTGCAGCTCCCTCCCATTCGTGCTGCAATGTCCTCGTGTGAAGCCCGCCTCCCGCCTGGGGTCAGGGCCACGTGGCAGGGCTGCTGGGAGGGGGAGGGGCTGCGCCCCAGGAGGTCCTTGCCGGTGTCACTGAGGACTCACCCCAGCGCCGCCTCTCTCGAACTGTCCGGCTGCTTCTCACCTCTCTCCATTGGTAAGACGCCTCACCTGCATGTGTTCCCCTCCAGATTGTCCTTCCCCAGGACCGGTGATGAGTCACAGTCACCACTGCCCCTCTCAGGCACCGGCTCCGTGGAGCCACTCGAGGCCGGTTAGTTCAAGAAAGGAGGGAAGAAAAGAAGGAAGGAAAGAGGGAGGGAGGAGGGAAAGAAGTGAGGAAGGAAGGAGAGAAGGAGAGGAAGGGAGGGATAGAGGAAGGGAGGGAAGGAAGGAAGGAAAGAAGGAAGAAAGAAAGAAAGAAAGAAAGAAAGAAAGAAAGAAAGAAAGAAAGAAAGAAAGAAAGAAAGAAAGAAAGAAAAAGAAAGGAAGGTGGCTTCTGTTCTCCAAGGGGCCAAGCTGGCTCTTTCTCCTGGGGTCAGAGCCGGGGAGCGTGGGCTGGGGCGGTCATCAGGGAAGGCCTGGCCACCGGCCTCAGCCCCTTCCCACGTGGATGAGGACAACCCAGCAAGCGGACTTGGGTGGAGGGGACGACGGGATGGGTCAGGGCAGAGCTTCCAGCAGGAAGTGCCCACACACCGGGCCCCCTGCCCAAGGCTGGGCTGAGGACTGAGGCCTTTCGAGGCCCCAGCGGGAACCAGGACGGTAGCAGTGTCCACGGAGCCTGAGTCACAGGCCACCCGCTGAGAATGTGGCGGGGCTGAGCCAGGGCCGGGAGACTGGGCTTTGGGTCCAGGCTCGGCAGAAGGACGGGAGGGGCTGCCTCGGCTGGGCCAGCGCTAGCTCCTGCTGCCCAGGGGTGCCCCTCTGCCCCACTGGACCCTGAGCCCCCGCTGCAGGCCACAGCCGTGCGGAAGGCCCCAGGACCCCAGCTAGCAGGGCGTGAAGAAGGCCCAACGGTGAGGCAGCACCTGGACGGAGGACGGAGGGACGGAGGCCGAGTTTGCCGTGGTGCACACGGCCCCAGTGGGTGGGAGAGACGGGAGGAGAGGAGGGAGAAGGGGTGGTCCTGGGGGCTGAGGCTTCACTTCTTAGCCTCGTTGTAGATTTCGCCATCTCGCGAATGCATCATTTGTTCAAAAAAGTAAATTCGCACACTTGCACAATTGGCTGCTGAGGGCGTGACGGCCCCTGGGCAGGGCAAGCTGCAGCTGAGCAGGCGGGCTGTGGCCGCGGGCCGCCCGCACCATGGCGGACTGGACCCCTCCGTGCACCGGGCTCCCCCGGGCTGAGGCCGCTCCCGCCCGGACAGACCTCCCAGTCTAGAGGGGACGAGGCTTCTGCTCGGGGTCAGAAGGAATTGAAAGCCGCCGTAACCGCCCCTCCCGGCCTCCCCCCAGCCCTGTTTAAAGCAGAAAAGGAGCAAAGGGAGAGAGGGCTTTTCCCCGGTGCTGGAGGTACGTTTTCCCCCTTTCTCCCTCGTCTTCCTCCCCAATTCCAAGGACCCTGCCCCCTCCCGGGAGTGCAGTGGCGCCCGGCAAGGACAGAGGCCCTGGGAGAGCCGCACGCTGGCCCCGCTCCTCCCGGGCTCGTGGGAACCCCCTGGGGGCAGAGCGCCACAGGAAGCGCTGCTGGGTGCCGGCGGCTTCTCCCGTTCCCATGGACTATCCCCTCGGGACCCGGAGCAGGCAAGCCCGCCCGCCCGCCCGCGAGTGGGAAAATACCGCTGCTATGACGCAATGCTCTGCAGAGGCTGCGGGAGTGTCTGCCGCCACCCCCAGCTCTTACCTGCACCCACCTGCCTCCCCCCCAAAACACACACACTCCACAGTGTCCCCACCCTTTCCTCTGAGCTGACAGTGCTGGTGCCACTGCGCTCGGGGGACAACCTCCTGCAGCCCCGTCAGGTCGCGGGGCTTGGCGAAGGGTCAGGGTCTTGGAAACCTTCTCTGTGCCACCCCGGACCCCCCAGGGCGGGGACTGCAGCAGAGGTGCTGGGGCTGCTGCAGGGAGGAGAGGACCCGCCAGGCCTCACCCTGCCCTCAGCGCCCCACCAGCCCCAACGCAGTCCCATAGGGACAACCCCCCGTGACGGCCGGAACAAGGTATCTGGCTCCAGCATATAAACCCGGGCTCGTTCCGAGACCCACCCACCTCCTTACAGCATTTCCCAGGGACTTGGGCTTGCGGCCAGTGAGTCACGGAGCTGCATAATTAGAGATGGGGAAGGGAATTTCGCCAGGGCCTCCCCCTGGACCGGAACTTTCTACTTTTAGGTTCAGGGAACGATCACATTGTCCTGGACCTGGAGACCATCAGGGTTGAGCCTTCATTTTACAGGTGAGGAAACTGAGGCACAGAGAGTCTCGGGGACTGGGCTGGGGACATGGGGGGTGGCATAGGCAGCCGGGGCCCCGGATCTCCAGAGGCCTTCCATCCGGCTGCCGTCCCACATCGGAAGCCCCAGCCGGCATCGGGCAGGGAGGAAGGGAGGCTGCGCCTGCAGACCCAGCAGGAGGCGTGGTGGGGGCAGACCCCCAGGCCCACTCAGGCCTCTGAGCAGAAAACAGTTAGGAGCACGATTCATTTTTTCACGCCTCCTCTCAGATCTGCGCTCCAAGAGCGGGAGCCTAAGTGAGGCCAGGCTGCCGGGTCTGTCACTTGCACCTGTCCCCGGACGCTGGCCTGGCCCTCGAAGGCCCTAGGACCCAGCGCCCCCCGGCCAGCACTCCGGGTTTTCTTTCCGGTCGTTGCCCTGCGGTGGAGACGGATCACAGCGGCAGGAAAGGGGATGTTTGGACACCCAGAGAACCCTCTTGAAATTCCAGGGCTCGGAACTGCGAGCTGAGCTGGGTCCTGTGGCGCCCACGTTCACCCCGGCTGGCAGAAAGCAGCTTCCTGTTCCCAAGGGCGAGTGGGGGTGCAGGGAAGCCTCCTGGGAGATTCCAGGGCGGCACGGACCCCAGCGGGCGCTTGTGAGGCACCTGGACGCATTAAGTTCGGATGAATCGAAGCCACGAGGAGGACATCCCCCTTAGAATACACCAGGGCTCAATAATTAAATGGAACATAGTTTGGCAAATCGATATGGGGTTTTGCCGAACCCAAAACATTTGAAAAGATGATTGACATATCCCGTCGCCGGCACGGCCCGGCCTCTGTGAGAGGGCAGGGGACGGCGCAGAGCCACTGGGGGCCACGTGCCCGAAACCACAGGCCCGCCTGCCTTCAAAGAGCCCTCCCTGCCCTTGAACACCTAGAAGCAGCTTCACCTGCGGGAGGGAGCCTTGTCCCCAAGGCCCCAGCCTGCGGCCTCCGCCGGGACAGACGTCTTCCCTCTCTGGTCCTAACACTTGAGCAGCTTCCGGGCGGGGGCCACCCCTGGGGGGCTTTTGAAGAAATGATGATTCGATTACTCTCAAGACTGGAAGGCTTTTGATTTTGATTAATAACCACCAGAAAACCGTCCCGGCAACAGTGCTGTCATTGTGCGCGTGGGGCGGCACCTGCGGTGAGGAGGGTTCCGAGAAGGCACACGGGAACAGCCTGAGACATCTCAGCCGCTTCCAGGAAGTCCCCTGCCGGAGTCCGCAGCGGGAGGGAGGGTGGCCCTGGTCCTGCTGCTGCAGCAAAGCCGCAGCCCCGTGGCGGCTGGCAGGGCGCTGAGTGTCGCCCCGAGCCTCCTCCTGCAGCCTCTGCTCCTCCGGGGCCTGCAGGTCTGGGCAGCTTCCCGGGATGCTCCTATCCTCTGGGCGCAGGGTTCGAGTCCTGCCACATTTTGTGAGGACCTGGAGCAACAGCCCATGGCGGACCACTGCGACAGGCATAATGTGCCCACCCCACCTGTCTGTCCTCCCTTCCTTCAGCCACAGGTACCGACTGGGAGGTGAGTGAGTTTCCCGTGGCTGCTGTAACCAAGTGCCACGACCTCAAGGCTTCAAGCAGCGGAAACTCGTCCACGCGAAGTCCTGGAGGCCGGCAGTCCCACATCTAAAATGTTGGCCGTGCCGCCGCCGTATGGTTTGAATGTGTCCCCCAGAGGCCCAAGCATTGGAAACATGGCCCCGGTGCAGCGGCGTCGACAGGAGGGACCTCTGGGAGGTGACTGCGTCACGGGGGCCGCGCTCGCCAACGGACCGTCTGCTCACGGATGAGTGCAGTGACGCGTTGCCGAGGGAGAGTCCGTCACCGCCAGAGCGGCCGCGCGGCCCCTCGCACCAGCCCTGCCCAGGTGGGGCCCTGCTCCACCCGGGACTCCGCAGAGAGCCCCCGCCGGCAAGGAGGCCCACGCAGTGCAGCCCTCGACCTTGTGCTTCCCAGCCTCTAGAACTGTAAGAGACAGACTTCTGCATACATCAGCCAGGCATTCGCGTCACAGCCACAGAAAG